ACTCATTTTGTGGTCACCTTGCCCAAAGTTACCCATCTCATGACCTCCTGGCCCTGGAGAGAGTCACTCCCTTGGGAGAGCACTGAGCTCATTTCTGCTCTGTCCTGCACCTCCCTCCAGGATGCTCCTGCGGTATTTGGGTCCACAGCTGGGGCTTGCTGGCACCGAGCAGGGCATGGGGCAATGCTGCACCCTCCCCACTGACCTGATGCGGCCTGCTGATGAGACAGTTTGATTTGGAGTAGCTGTGTGAGAGCAGAGATATGGGATCCCCCACTGAGCCCCTGAACATCCCCGTTTCTGGCTATAAACCCCCTTCCAAGGAGGGGTCTTTAGAGAGCAGGGCCGAGATGATCCACAAGCCGCAGCCGTCCCCCGCCCCCTCCCCGAGAGGAATTGCTCTCACACAAATGAAATGTGTGTAATTAATGGGCAGGGGGCTGGACAGGTCCGAGATGAAAGCGTTTCCTGGACTTGTCCTTCATTTGCATGGTATCAGAAGCTGTTCAGAAGGTGTGACTTTTCCCACAGGGAGCCCTCAGCTCGGTGGCACAATAAAGCCAGGACTTCTTACCCAGAATTAATTAAAGGAGGGGGAGGGGGATGGCAGGGAGATGTTTGAAAGCTGAGCCTGATGCAATAAACAAACACCCCAGTCCTTCTTCCCAAGCCGAGGCATGCCCAAGGGGGCCTGGGTGAGCCCCAACCCTGGCACAGCATCGTGCAGCCCACCCCGCTCGGTGGGCACCCTTCCCCAAGCAGACCTCACAGCTAAGTTGTCATGGGTTGGCCCTGCAATGAAGCCCAGCAGTGTTTGTAAAGTGAGAGAAGGGATGGGAGGGGAGACAGCATGTGCCGAAAGGTTTGGGGCTTGGTGGATCAAGCCCAGGTGCAGCCCCTGCTCAGACAGCACAGACCCCTTTTCTTGCCACTTTGATTTATTCCTGCCCATCCGCTGTTTATCTGCCATAACAACATTTAACCTGAAAACAGCTCTTCTCCCTGCCTGGCATTGCCCTGGTGTGTTCACCCCACGTTTACTTCTTACCCCATGTTGGCTGGCTGGACCACCTGAGCTTCTCAGTCTCGTCTCATGAGGCAGACTCTCCCAAACGTCGCTGAGCTCTAGCCTTGTCGCTGTGTCCAGATGGCATTGTGCGGCGAAGTCCTGTACGGGCAGGGACACACATGCACCACTGCTTGGAGCTCAGGACAGGGCAGTCATCCCTGGGCCAGCAGCCAGGGCAGTATGGCTCCTCTCCTGCCTCATCTGCCACCTCCCTCCGGCCAGCCAGTGGCAGCGAGGGGACAGCAGGGTGACGCTGCGAGTGGTGGTGCTAGGGAAAGGCACATCCCCGTCACAAGGACTTTGCTAGCTCAGAGCAGGGGTTTCTGCCCAAAACACCCATGCTAACAGCATGAGTTCATGGAAGCGAACACCCCTCCAAAACCTCCTGTTCCCAGCGCTCTCCTGGGTCCAGCCCCAGCTCAGTGTCCTGCAGTCCCCAGGACCTTTGGGTGGCTGTGATTCTCAAGCTTGGTCCACGCACCCACAGATGATGAAGGAGGAGGGAAAAGTCCCAGATTCCTGGGCTGATGATTGACCCTGCGCGTTCGACCAGCAGCCAGGGTTTCTGCATCCCTGGAGGAACAGCAGGTACCACCAGGGACTGTCCCCATCTCCCTGCATGGACGGTGGGAGCTACCAGCCCTAGAGGACCACGTGCTTAGGACCCTGCAAGGCCCAGGTCACCAGGAAGAACGTGAGCTGCTCCAGCCATGCCAGGGACTAAGCGGTATCAGTGCAGAGACAGGGTATGAGGAACCATTAATTAATTCACTTACTCATTAACTAACCAGTAGTGGGCTCTTTAATCTTCCAAGAAAAGGCAAAACAACATTTGCTGGCTGGAAGCTGAAGCTGGACAAATTCAAGCAATAAACAAAGCCCCAAGTTGTAGTGCTCCTAGACAGCATGGCCACCTAAAAGCCCTTCAGCGAAAAGGGGCTAATTAACCACGGACCAAGTGAGCTGGGAAAGCAGGGGGTCCCTTCCCAGGAGCAGGCCTGGGTGCCTTTCACAAAGGCAGGCTGCAGCAGAGCAGATGGCAGGAGTTGGGGATGGTACGTGGTACAGAGCTGTGCAAGGACACAGGGGTGTCCTTCCCCAGCTCAAACTCCCAGGGTGCTGGGTGCCCCCTGCTCCAGCCCTTGGCTGCACCCTGGGATGGCAGGTATGGGGGAACAGCCTTACTGGAGGCCGAGCACCCACACCACACCCTTCCCTGGCACCACTGTCCCTGGGGGACAGATAACAAGGGAGGGGACTTCTGCTGACCTGCATGGAGCCAGTCCTGCCTCTCTGCTACCCTTACCTGGAGCAGCAACCCAGCACCAATTCACCCAGGTTCACAAAGCCATTAGGAAAAGCAATTAGACAAACTAATGAAAGAAAAGCACCCATTAAGGACTATCAAACACCATCTCTGCCTGGGGAAAGGCCAGGAGCCATTCACTTTTAGTTCCTGTAGTCTGGAGACCACAACATGGGCTTGCCCCAGCGCTGTCGGCTTCTGAGCTTCTGCAGTCCTTGGGTCCCAGCTGCAAGAGCCAGGCAAACGCCGTCTGCCTTTAACAGCGCTGTCCGATGGCCCAAGCATCACCCATGACCTCTGTGACGCAGCGGTGATGCTCACTCATAGAGCACGCCCAAATGCTTGGTCCCCAGGCTTCCCTCCTTGAAATTAATGATACATATTGACAGCTCAGCCCAGCCTGTGGCATCAGCCAGGGGACAGCTCGTCCTCGCACCCTGCAGACAAGCAACTCCTGAGCACTAAGCGATGCCGCAGGCACCCCCTAAGGATGGCAGCACGAGTGGGGCTGGCACTGGTGATGGTGAGACTCTCACCTTGTGAGGCTGCTCCATTTCTGTAATTATTATTTTTTTTTAAAAACATATTTAACAATGTTATTCTTGCATCCTTCCATATCTGACCATATAGGAGACCCCTCCATGTCCAAGTCCCCCATCAGCCCCTCTGAGCAAGACCCAGAACCTCAGCAGGGCTGAGTATCCACCAAAGGAGGGGACACAACAACTTGTTTTGCACAGACACCAAGCTCATCTAGACCAGAGGGGAGCAGATACCGGCTTTCTCTCTTGGAAAGCTTCATCCCATGCTTAAAACTGGTGGTCAAGGCTCTGCTGCACTATGCTCCCATCCAGCCTGCAATGGGTCTGCCCCCAAAGGGCAAGGAGGTGGCATCTGCCCATTAAACCTGGAATTCGCTGCAAGGAAAACCATGATTTCCACAAGACTCATCTGGGTCCAAGGTCTCGGGGCATCCTCCCACTTCCCACATCTGCTCCCTCAGGAAGGGGCTCACACCAAACGGCAGCCTCAGCCCCATCCTGCACCTCTCCAACCTGCCTCTCCAGCCCCTCCCTGGAAAGCATCAGGCTCAGTTAGACTAATACAAATTTTTAATGCACATATTAAATAAATATTTCAATCATTTCATATTCAATTTGTACACAACCAAAACAAAACAAAAGTCCTCAAGGAAACAGAAAAAACAAACAATCAAAAAAGATTGGATGAAAAGTCACCCCTGGTTCTGGCTCCTATCCAGTGTCTTTGTTTGCCCTCCCCGTGAAGAATAATTGCTTTAACCCTTTGGAGAGAGTCACAGTCCCAGGGCAGCATGTGCAGAGCTGGGCTGGCTGGGGATGTTCACTCAAGAGATTTAATGTTTCCTTCGGGTTTGTTTTTTTTTCTAAATAGAAAATTGGGCTTCTGTCAACACAGAAATTTTGAAAGAAAACCTCTCCTTTCCTAGGAGGACAAGGATGGCAGTATTTCTCATCAAAGAGCAAACCTGGAAGAGACGGCTGACAATGGAAGTGCCAACCACAAACTGAATATTATGACAAAACCAGCCTGAAATGGCTCCACAAAAATTTGTAAACTTTTTTAATTTTACGGATTAAAACTTCCATCTGATAAAAAAATAAACAGAAAAAAATATCAATTTTTGGTGAGAAGTTCACATTTTCCACATGAAAAAAAAAAACCACCCACAACCCAGTTACCAGCCCGCTCCACGGCAGCCATCACCCACTGCCTCGCCTTAGTAGTTTAAAACAAAACAAATGCCAAAGATGCTCTTGTGGGTAAGAGGTACCAAGTCAGTTCAGGACTTTCTCTGGGGCGTCCATCACCCCTGTCTCCTCCTGAGAAAAAAAAATAAGTTGGGAGTTGGGAAGCCAGCAGTGTTTTCAGAAGGATGCAAGCAGCTTCCAGCAACCCCTCGCTCAGCCGAAGAAGTAGGTGCATTCGAGGAAGGAAAGCATCCAGCAGTCCTGACCCCGGGCGTCGCAGCCAGCCCCCACAGGCAGTGCCCAGACATCACCCAGGCTGCAAAACGCACCCGGGAGGCCTCCAACCACCTCTGAAATAAATCACCTCCCCTTAATTTTTTTTCCAACCTCTCCATCTTCTCCGGTAAGCATTAATTCAGTTCATTTAAGTAGCACATCACTCCCAGATTTGGATTTCCTTTTTTTTTTTTGCTTGTTTGTTTTAAATGGTGATTTTTTTTTCCTCCTTTCCCTCTAGAGCTACAAAAAAAAAAATTACAAAATAAAATGCGACCCCAAAAACAGACTAGAACATTTCTAAGCGAAGGGCTCTTCCCCCTTCACCAGTCTTTGAACGTTTCATTTCTTTTAAAGTTGGAGTACAAAAATAGAGCCTCTCTTCTTTTTTTCTTTTTTTTTTTTGTAAAAACCAAACCAACCCCCCAAAATTATCAACAACTAGAATGAGTATTTTTTTTTTATCCTCCCCCCTCCCTTTTTTTGTTTAATACCCATATGGGAAAGTCTCTACATATAGTCCACCAAGCTTGGAGGAGAGTCCTCCAGGAGAGGTGCAGGCAGGGCGGGCAGAGGCAGGCAAGTCAAGGGCCCGCCCTGGAGTTGGAGTTTCTAGTCCTTTTACTTCTCCGGTTGAAGGGGTAGTTGAGGAACTCAAAGCGTCTGTGGGGCTCGGTGGTCTGGTGGCCCTTGGGAAGCCTCTTCATGAAGTGTACCTCCCGTTGATGCTGCCGGGTCTTGGAGCCCTTGCGTGGGCGGCCCTTGCGGGTGAAGGCCATGTACCAGCCCTCGTACTTGGCATTCTGCAGCGCCGTGTAGTTGTTCTCCAGGACGATCTCCGTGAAGACACAGTCCTTGCCTTTGCCGTTGCTCTGAGAAGGGGACAGAGGGGGGATTTAAGCAATGGTGCTTGGTCAGAGGCTTCTTCTCCCTACCCCAAGCTGGACCGGCTGGGGTGGCAGCAGGTTTGTGATGCTTATGGGCAGCCAAGGGCTCACTTTTCCCACCTCTTCTACAGGTTCAAATTGCCCAAAATCTGCTTTTCATTAGAAAAGCTGAGGGGAGCAGGCATTGTGGCACGGGCAGATGCTGCTTATTGCAGCTTACATCCCCAGTGTGACGCCAGCACTGGGCTGCAAGCCCCAACACGGCTTGTCCCAGCCTTCACTTCCACTGCACCCACAGGGAGATTTTTGCCGGCTCCCATCCTGGCCCCATCCATGCCAGGGCTGGATTCCCCCACCAGCATGACTATAAGCAAAGTCTCCTCAGTGGCAATTCATCCACCCATCCTATCCCCCCCCGGGTGTTTAATATAGGAGGGGCATCAAGGGGCCGTGGTGATTATGTCCACAGACACAGATGACAGGGAGCATGGGGGCAGCTGGGGGCTGAGCTCCTCCCCATTACAGGCAGCAGCGGGACTAGGGAGGGAACTCGCATCGGCCAGCCCCAGGGAAGGAACCGCCACAGAAAATTCTCCCAGACAATCGCTGTCCCAGTGGGATCTTGCACATCCAGCCCCCGCCGCCCCTGGGGAGGGAGCGTCGAGGCTTGGAGGGAGCGTGACTAACAGGAGCACAGCAGAGCCTGGCCTTGGGGCCAGGCCCACGGAGCATCTTAACATTTCTGCCACTTGTACCATGTAATCGGGGAGAATAGCCCAGCAATCTGCCTATTTGTCTGGGGAGATACAAGGAATGCGCCCCACACAGCACCCACCCACCCCCCTTGCTCCCCCCCTTCCCTCCTGCTGCCTGTGCTGCAGGATGGCTCATCCCCCTGCCCTCCAAAGGGGTGCGCTGACTGAGCCCCCGGGACCCCCATCTTGCCTCCCCATCTCCACAGATGGGCTCCGTATCGGGTAAGAGCTCCTCTCCTGGCAAACCCCACTCAGTGTCCATGGCACATCCCTGGCATACCCATGCCCTTGAGCCCAGCACCCTACCTTGCCGATCAGCTTCCCCTTCTTGTTCATGCAGATGTAGAAACCTGTGGCCGCCCCCTTGATGCGCACGCGGCTCCCAAAGGTGTCTGTCTCCACGATGAGCTTGGCTGGGGAGAAGAGTGGGAGGAAAGAGAGAGGGAGGTCAGAGGGGCTGCGGGATGGGGCAGGCACAGGGTGGAGACCCCAGCAATGCATCCTGATGCTGGGCACTGCAGGCACATGCTCTCTGGTGACTGGGCCAGAGAGCGCCTTAAAATCAGGGCATGAGGCTAAGAGCCATTCTCGGCCCCTCTACCCTGCCACTGTGTCCCTGCATGACCTTGGTCACCTCCCTTCACCAGCCTGAGTTGTGCTGGAGGGGGAGTAGCTCTGCCTTGCCCGGTTCTGTGGGGCTCAGCAGTTTGGGTGCCACAGAGGTGTCACAGAGGGGAGGCAGGGCAGTGAGCAGGGCACGCACCGGCCAGTGGAGAACAAGCCAGCTGCCCTGCAAACCGAGGCAGGTCTGGGCGAGCCTGCAGGCAGGAAGCAGGCAGGCACCCTCTGGAAGTGCACGGTATGCTGCCAGCTGTCCCCAGCCCAGGAGACACCGCTCCGTGTCTCTCTGCTGGGCCAGGGCTGCAGGAGGAGCAGTGACTTTGCAGCTGGCAGGGGAGGCGTGAAGGGTACGGCCATCCTTTTAATGCCTTTCACCTTTGCACGAGTCGAGAGGGCATATTGATTTGGTCTCAGTTTTTTAATGGAGGCATCGATCGACTTCCGAAGGAGCTATGCAAATCGCCGGGTCGATGGGCCGCCTATAAATAGACCTGTCACCTTCCCTCCCTGCCTTCACCCTGGGAACCTGAGCCCCGAAGCCCATCCATCCCCAGGGAAGGAGGAGGATGGGGACAGGACATCCTTCTCCCCAGCCCTGCAGCTGCTGTCCCCAGAGCCAACTCCCCTCCCCAGGGCAAGCCCCGACAGGGATAGTGGCTACCTGTTTGCACCTCAAAAGGGTTGTGCTATGCCAAGCACCAAAGATTTCCCCACGGCACTGAAAAGCCAGCTGGGCCTGTCCCATCTCACCACCATCACCTCTTGCCCAGCATCAGCCTCTAGTGCCATAAGCGCAATTTGGCAAGGTAGTTAGAGTGCAGCCCACAAAGCTTCCAAGTCTTTAGCCTTATTATGGGAATAAGCCCCCTGATGCCTTATTTCTCCTCTCCGACCTCTGCACAAGGGCTGCTCGGTTCCTCAGGACTGTGGTCCACCCCGGCTTGCACATCTCTGCCCCAGGATGCTCAGCCACTGGCGAGCCCCAGCGAGGGCAGTGATGTGGCTCTGGAGCGGGTGGCTTTGCAGGAGGATGCTTTGAATGGCAGAAGGAGGCTGTGGGCACACGCACAAGCTAAAGTGAGCCTAAATCACACTCTAGGCTAGGAGCAAACTGCTGCCTCTCTGTCTCTGCGATGACCTGATCCTGCATCCCTCGCATTATGGGCACTGCTGAGGTCAATGGCACTGAGGGTCGGGACAGCGAGCGGGCAGTGCTGGCAGCAGGTGAGTTGAGCAATGGAAAGGTCATCCCAAAATTTGCTGGGGCCAACTGAGTTGATGCTGTCAGGCAAGCCAGGCTCAATGCACATGCAGGCGCCCCCTCCCCGCACCCCCTCCTGCCAACGTCACCCTGCAGCATCTCTTGTCCCCAAACTGCCCCGCGCCTGCAGCCCCCCATCCCTAGCTGGGCACAGACTGGACTTAGAGCCGAGAAATTTGGGAAGAGCCAACTCCAGGCTGTGCTACCCCAGCACCAACATCCAAAGCCCGGCACGCACCCAGCACCCCCAAAACCAGCCACAGCGCTCTGCAAATGAAGCACTGAGACAGTAACCCCCTATTTATCTATATTGGGGAAAAGGGTGGGAATTGATCTCGGAGGCAGTAAAAGGTTTGAGGAGAATTGATTTTTCCCTCCGCGAGATAG